TGGCAAGACCCCACTCCACCCCGCAACGCCCCCCCCCAGCCCGCCCCCCCCCCACCCCCGGCAGACAGAGAAACAAATTAGATCCAAAGACAGCAGATCAGGGATCAGTTTCAGAGGGGACAGCACCCCCTCACACACCGAGGCTGAGGAGGAGGAGTGGCCTCCAGGGTGCCTGGCCTGGCCTGTCTGTCACAAGCAGGCCTAAGATAGAGACCAGACCATAAGAGACTAGGAAAGAAGGAACATCCGGAGATGGGTGCTGGTGCCGCCAAGTCTCAGAACAAACGCTTGGCTTGGGCCCTGAGCACACAGGCATTTTGGAGAAAGGAGTGTGTCTGTGTGTGTGTCTGTGTATGTGTGTGTGCGTGCATGTGCGTGCACGTTTACCTTTTACATTTAATTATTTATTTTGTGTGTGTGCATTGTGTGTTTGTGTACAGAGGAAGAAGTGAGCTTGGAAACAGAATAAAGGAATGCTAACTAAGGTCGTTTTGACTCTGCACACGCATACAAGTGCGTGTGCGCACACAGGTGTGCATTCTTTCTACCCCATTCCAGTCGCCTCTGACGTTCATGAAAACAATGGTTCGTTTCCTTCTCCTGATTCTTGCTCTATCTTTTCCTCTCAGGACGGAGGATCAAACCCAGGACTTTATAGCAGTCAAACATTCTACCTTCTGAAGAACTACATCCCCTCCTGCCCACTTTCCTTCCTATCCTCTTTCTCCCCCTTCCTCTCCAGTGCCCTTTTCCATTTATTCAACCCCTCTTCCCAGAGTGCCAGAGGACTCGAGGAAGTCCATCAAGACTCCCAGGTTCCAGATTAGGAATGCCAAGCAGCAGGATCCATCAGGGTATTGCATTTTCTCTTTTCCCTTTCCATACTAGCAATAACAATAATAACAACAACGTTTATTCATGCATGTGCACACACACACACACACACACACACACACACACACACGCATGCACGCATGCAGTTATGCCACTGTTCCCATGTGAGCTGACTTCTGGAGTCCTGAGGACTGAATTTAGGGTGTCAGTCTTGGCCACAAGTGTCTTTTCCTGCTGAGCTACCTTGCTATCCCAGATCCCCCTTTCCCGTCCTCGCTCCCCGCACCCATACCTCCCAGCCCTAGTCTCATGTAGCCCAGGCTGACTTCAAACTTGTTATGCAGCCAAGACTGGCCTCAAACTTCTGGTTCTCCTGCACCCACCTTCTGAGAGCTGAGGTTGCTACCCTGTGGCACCCTACCCTTGTGTGTCTTATTCATTTGTCTTTAATGAGAACACCATGAGGTCATCCTGAAGATGTGAGACCGAGGTCACTACAGCTGCCTTCATTTGGTTATTTGGGATTCCGTTAACAAACTCCCAAGGGCCTAGAAGAAGTAGAGCCAGGCCGTCTGTGGACAGTGGTTTTCACCATCCCGGGAAGGCATCTTGAGATGGCCTGGCTAGGAAGTGGGTGAGCCATAGGAGGAAGGAGCCTTGCTCCTGCTCTGAGGTGTGAAATCACAAAACAGGGTTGAAGACATTTCCTCTCCAGCAGCATTGGGAGTTGGAGTGGGGACAAACAAGAGGACTAGAGAGATGGCCCAGCACACACAAGCTCTTGATGCTAAGCCTGATGCCCTGGGCTGGATCCCAAGGACCCAGGCTGTGGAAGGAGAGAGCCAGCTCCCGTGTGGTGTCCTCTGACCTCCACAGGCATGCCAGGGCATGCCACATGTGCACACATACACACACACACACGCGCCACACAGCACAACAAATCAGTGAGTGCATTGACAATTTTATAAAACTTTATCATTTTAATTACATATGTAGGTATGTGTGCATGAGTGCAGGTATCCAGAGGCCAGAGGCATAGGATCCCCTGGAGCTGGAATTACAGACAGTTGTGAGCTGCCTGACATGGTTACTGGGAGCTCAAAGGGGAAGCAGAGTTTTCTCCACTCTTGTTGGAAGAAGAAGAACTGGTTCAGAGGTTACAAGCACTTAGCTGTTCTTGCAGAGGATCAGGGTTTGGTTCCCAGTACCTAGGTTAGGGGGCTAAAAACTACCTACACCTCTGGCTCCAGAGCATCTGATGCCTCTCTCCTCCTAGGGCACCTGCATTCATATGCACGCGATGCGCACACACACACGCATGCACACACACACACACACACACGTACACGCGCACACACACACGCATACACGCACATGCGCACACAGACACACAATTTAAAATAGCATGAATCCAAAACAAAAAGAAGGCGAAGGCAGGGCCGGCAGTCATCTAGAGGATTTATGGGGCCGGAGTAAAGAGAGACTAGTTAAGAGCCATATGAGGCTCCAGATTTCCCTGTGAGCTTAGACGCAGACACTCATGAAAAGGAAGCTTAGGGGATTTAGCCTGTGTTATTCAATGAACTCCTGAGGAGTTCAAGTAGGCTAAACTCAGCCCTTCCTAAATTTCCCTTCTTTGTAGAAGGAAAGGCTGTTACCATTGAGAACTGGCAAGCCTCAAATGTGTGTAGAGAGAGGGGCCCCTATCATTCTGTTATTTCCTCCCTCCTCTGTTTCTGGAAGTCCCTTAGAGACCCCAAAGTTTCAATCTCGGGAACAGCTGACTCTCCAAACCGACAGGATCTGGAGGGACCAGGCTCACGGCTTCCACCCTCCCCGGGTGCCCACAAAAGCATCTGGCCCTTGCACCCTGGGCTCTGGCCACAGGGTCATCTGTTTGCAATGTTTGACTCGGTAGTTTTATTTCTGCTTGGCGGGATAAGATAAACTATCCGGTTACACGGCAGGCGGGCTGGGCGAGGAGCCTGCTACGGCAGGAAAGCCAAGCGAAATGAGCTGGTGGGCTTGGCCCAGGCCCCCTTTGCAGTCAGAGGAAGTGGCTTCTCTTCTGGAAAGTTCCCTCTTCTCCTGGCTAAGACGGGTGCTGTTTTTAATACCAGTGTAGTTCCTCGCTGACTCCAGGAAGAGGCACCACCCTCAACACTATGCAGATGTGAATACACACTTGCACACGCGCGCGCGCACGCACACGCGCACACACACACACAAGGCACCTCACAGTTTATCCTTTTGTTTGTTTGTGTGAGGCAAGGTCTCGCCCAGCTCTGCCTGTGAGGATAACCTTGAACTCTTGCTGCCCCTGCCTCCCGCTTTATTGCACGGAAATACATTTCTGTCTAGCTTACAGCAACTCAGAGTGCTGACTCTGGAACGTGCATTTTAACCACCATCTCAATAGACCCATTCCTGAGCCTAACGCACTTGAATGTCATTTGGTGGCACGTTACATTTATGTCCCACCCCACCAGGCTCCCACTTCTCTTATTTTGAGACAAAGTCTCACTAAGTTGCCCAGCCTGGCTTTGAACTTCCTTGGCTGTAGCCCAGGTGAGGCTCACACTTGCAATCCTCCTGACTCAGCCTCCTGAGCGGCTGGGGTAACAGGCCGGCTCTGGATTGTTACACCAAAGCTTAGGCTCTGGAGTCAGCATGCCTATCTGGGAACTCGGCCACATTAACCTGAGTAAACGCCTTCCTTTCCCGGGGCCTCGGTGACTCCATCTGTAAAATGGGACTTAAGAGCCAGGTGGTGGTGGCGCAGGCCTGCAAGCCTGCAGGCCTTTAATCCCAGCCAGGGGTGGCAGAAGCAGGCAGATCTTTGTGAGTTCAAGGCCAGCCAGGGCTACACAGAGAAACCAGCCCTGTCTAGAAAACAAAACAAAACTAAACTAAAACTCTCCACCCCACCCACCTCCCCAAATGGGCACTGAGATCTTGATTTCCGTGAGCATAGCCCTTCTGAGCGTTTCATGGGGGCAACATCTCCAGAGAGCTTCCTGAGACTGAGGGCACGCTGTGTGCTCCGTACTGGTGACTGTCACAGTAACCAGTCGGCTTGACATAAAGGAACACCCAGCCTTGGAGCAGAAATGGAAGTGTGGTCATCATTTCTCCACCCCCAAGGTAAGTGACCCCCTTTCTTGAGGCTGGAGCAAGTACTAACATCGGTTAACTCAAGCTCTCCCTTCTCTGGTGCAACTTTGAGATTGGCGCCCTCAGCTTGGAAGTAAAACACAGGCCGACTCCCATGCTTGATGCCCAAAGAAACAGATACGGGAGAAAGTTTTGATGCCAGGCTGACCTTGAACTCACTGTGTACCCAAGGATGACTCTGACCTTCTGACTGTCTTGTCCCCTCTTCCTCAGTGCTAGGACTGTAACCACCAGCCACCGTGTCCCACTTGCCTGGGGCAGGTAATGGAATCCAGGGCCGCCCCTGTGCTGGGCAAGGATTCTATCCACTGAAAAAGAGCAATAGCCCACAATTTTGAAATCTAATAACAGGGCACGGAGAGGTAGGATAGCCAATTGTTCAAGTCAGTGGAGGCATTTAAGGGTGATAAGAAGGGGGGGGAACTCTCCTCAGAGGGGCCCCAGATTTGTCCCAGCTCAGTTTCCCTGAGGCAAGTGTTATTTTCCCTCATAATCAGAGCAGGGGTTCCCAACCCTCTAAGGCTGTGACCCTTTAACACAGTTCCTCGTGCTGGGGTGACCCCAGGCATGAAATTATTTTCCTTACTGCTTCATGACTGTGATTTTGCTACTGTTGTGAATGTTATGGAACATGCGACCCTCAAAGGGGTTGTGACCCACAGGTTGAGAACCACTAACCTAGAGTCTGGGTTTCCAAATGTGGTAGCCATAGCAACGTGTGTGTGTGTGTGTGTGCATGTGTGTGTGTGTGTGTGTAGTGAATCTGCTCCTCTAAGTTCTACTGTTACACTCCTGGGTGTCTCTCCTTCTGGCCTGGGGATTGTCACTCAGCAGCCCTTCCTGATCCCAGGCCAGGCCACTCTGTTTGCAGTCACCACCCAGTACTTCCTCACCTCACTCTACCACGTGCTCTGGTCCTTTCCCAGGAGTGCTGGGAGGAGAAAGGGTGGAGGATAAAGACGAGGGTCAGAGGTCAGAGCTGGGCCACCTCTCAACCCCCATTCCTTCCACCCCAGAATCTCTCCTGGCCTGCAGGCACACAAAGAACCAAAGGCGTGGCTACAGCCAGGCTCCTTCGGGTTGCTGAGTCAGCACAATACGGCCTACTGTCTCCTCAGACCACAGGATACCTGCTCCACTTCCGGTAGGATGCCTGACCTTGCTGGATTAAGGGTATAGGCTGAGCTCTTTACTACACCCCAGCCTGGGCACACTCCCCACACACAGAGAGAAGGTGGGGAGGGCAGGAGGGAGACGGGTCCCAGCTGCCCCTGCAGCCTCAGCATTACCTCTCCCACATCCTAAAGCGTGTGCTATAAGGCCAGCTCCCCAATCAAGTGATAAGGAATGGGGCTATCTGGATAAATGGATCCCAAAACAGACATCCAAATCCAATCCATTGGTTCCTGAAGCCACTTTTTGTAGAAATGGATGTTAACAGTCACCGCTGGAGTGAATGACCCACTTCCTGGGACTCTGGCTTTCAGCATCCGTGACCCTGACAGGGATGTCCAGCTTAAAATGCCACATTGAGGACAGGGAGGCAAGATGACCCACCCCAAAATCTGTATGCACCCCCCCTCCTCTCTTTGCTGTCTCTATGGTCATCCGTCTCTCTCTTGTTTCAGGCTCTGCCCTTTGCCCTGTGACTTTGCCTTTCTGAACCTCGGATGTTACTGGCTCACAGTAGGGAACAGCAGACAATAACAGTAATAGTGGACTAATTATACGGGGTAAAGGGAGAGTTACAGAGAGGGTTGCAGAGAGTCATGTCTTCCTGGATCTAGAACAGGTTCTGATCAGTTTTACCCACAGACATTTAACAGAGAGCCCAAGAGTCTTCAAGAACCCTAGGTTGAACTTCATCATTCCAACCCACCCCTTCACCAGACCAAACTGTGAGCCCTGGGGTCTTCAGAAAGGAAGGTCAAAGACAGAACCTAGGGGTGGGGCTGTAATCCGCTTCTCTGATCTGGATCACCTGTTGCTCGGGTTCACGGGGACCCAAAAGCCTTGTGGGTGCCTGTCAAAGAGACTCAGTGAGCCTTGTGCTGCCCACTCCAGAAATCCGGGAAGTCTGATGCCCCCAAGTTCCTGGGATTCGGCACCGATTGTGCCTCGTCCTGTGCCTGTCGCCCGGCTGTACCTATCGCTTGGCTGTGCCTATTGCCTGTGCCTTCTTGAGTGTCTTCAAGGTTCAAGAGCATCAGAGACTTAGCAAGTCAATAACTCACTTAACCCCATATAAGGCCATGGTTTGAACTGGAAAATTGGGGGTCAGAGAGGCAGAGTAATTTGCATAGTCACACAGTAAGTAGGGGACAGAAGGAAACTCAGGGTCAGCCTGAGGCCATACCCCTCTCCTGTGAAAGTATCCTGATCTGGTAGTAGAATGTGAGCCTCAGACCATGGGGCCTCCACTTTCACTACCCCTACACACACACACACACACACACACACACACCTCCAGCCTCAGTTTCCCCCACCTAGAGCCCCTCAAGTCATAATCCACCAGAATTCACCCAGTTCCTTCAAAGTTACCTCCTACTGTGAGCTTCTTCCAAGGCTGTGTGACTCTAAAGGAATGAGTTACCCTCTCTGGGCCTCTTCAAACAAGGGAACACTGGAAACCCCTTGTCTATTTGTTGATACCCTTAGAAAAGAACTTAGCGTCATGTTCAGCAAATAGTAAGTGCCCAGTAAATGCTGGCTGGTGTCACTTCTTAGCCACCACCTGACGCCTCTCTCCCTTCTCGAATTCCAAACTCTCACCTCCCAGCCTGCCACTGGAGTGTGGACATGGGGGGTGGATAGCCCTCAGCTTGCCTAGTGGCTCCTTTGGCTAACTGCCCAGGGGAGGCCTTTGAAGTCACCGCCTTATGTAACCCCCTGTCCCCTCCCCTCTTTTCACATGTCCCCAGAGTAACCTTAGGGAAGAAAGCCCAAGCTCCCAGCTGCTGAGCCTGCTTGAGTCTCTTCCATGTGACTCAAGGGAGAGCAGAGAGACAGATGTTGCAGGCCACAGGTACCTCTACCTGAGCCCTAATCCTGCAATCCAACCATTGAACTGTGTGTCCTTCGAGAGGTTACTTGCCTTCTCTGTGCCTCATTTTCTTACCTATCTTGTAGAACATACTAACATGTAAAGACATCATGAGAAAATAGATAAATGACTAGCTTAGCATGTAACAGAACATAGTAGGGCTTAACAAGGAGGAGTTAAGTATTTAACATTGTTACCTCAGGCCCCACAATGCAATGATACTATTTGAGACTTGCTTTTTGCTCAGATACAAGGCCTCACCGCATGGCCCTGACTGGCTTGGAATTTATTGCTCAGGCCAGCCTGGCCTTGAACTTGCAGCCATCCCCCTGCCTCTGCCTCCAGAGTGCTGGGATGGTAGGTTGGAATGGTCCCCCAACTGAAAATGGGGCTAAGAAGAACACTCACTAAACTTATTGAACCCCAGTTGTCTGGCTTAGAAACAGACCTCGTTGCTCAGTCTCAGTTTCCCGCTCCTATAAAATGTAGTGAACGTCCCCTAGCTTCGAAAAGTGCCAGAGACTAGAGCAAAGCCACAGCCACCTCTCTTCCTGCCTGAGGCTTCTAAAGTGGGTTGGGGAATGTTCCCATGAGTCGACGCGGGCATATCCCCTACCCCCAATCCTAGCCCCCCCAGGGTGGGGGGGGGGCATGTGAGGGGGGAGGACGGGGACAGGACACAAAAAGGGCAATTCATCTTCTGCTCCTCTTGATGGGTCTCTGGATCTGGCTGGGAAGCTGCCTCCAGCTTCCCCTCACGTGTATAGAAGGAGACTCCGGGGGACCAGAGGCTGGAAGAATGTTTGCGCAGCCTTCAAACGACTTGGCAGGCCACAAGAGAGGAAAGGCCGCTTCAGGGAGAGCTCAAATTGAAATTGCACGGAGGGAGGAACGTTGGGACCAGCGCTGAAGCTCGTTAAAAAAAAAAAAAAAAAGGGGGGGGCGAACGGGAAGAACAGGCAACTGGCAGAAGCGAGATGGAGATGGAAATGCTTGGGGCCACGCTCGCTGCAGGGCAAGAAGTGGGTCGAAAGAGTGGGAAGGCAAGTCAAGTCCCCAGATGCCGCTGAAGGTCTGCAGGGGATGCTGGGAAGGGAAGCCTGGACCGAAGCCGACCTGGGATCCCTGGAGGAGAATAACTCCAAGAGGTCGTGGGAGGGACCCGGGAAAAGCTAAAAGGACCACATCATTCATTCCTTGAAGACTGAATTTTGATGTGGCTTGATTCAAAGAAAGCAGAGACGCGAGCGATCTAGGCCTTTTTGAATGAATTCAGGAGTCCTGTCAAAGATCCTGGTGCTGGTGCGGGGGCTGTGAAGTCGTGGCTAGAGTGTTTTGACCTGGCATGCACGAAGCCCTGGGTTTCATCCCCAATCCCAGCACTCGAGAAGTGGGGGAGGGAGGGTAAGGAGTTCAAGGCCATTCTAGGCTACAGAGTTTAAACTTAAACAGGCTTAAACTCCTGGACTACATGAAACTCTGTAGAAATGAGACCTCCCCAAATTTTTAAGATTACAAATCACTTGGGAAACGAATTTTAGCACAATCTGACTGAACTTTCCAGAGAAGAACACTGACAGACCTCTACAGAACCCCGTCCCAACTCTTTTATCACCTCTCCGTCCACGGTTTGGAAGGGACCGGGACAGGGAGTGCGCACCTCGGTCTCTCTGGGGAAGCCCCGGCCCCGGCCCAGGTCCCTCACCCTAACCCTCCTGGTTCAATTCATTAGCCTCATAGACGTGTTCTCAATTCCCGGACGCGTAGAGAAGAGCCTGGTCATTAACCTCCCGGCCCCTGTGCGCTGCCCGGTGCCACCGCAAGCGCAGCCTTCTCGGAACAGAAGGGCTGTGCCAGCTCCCGGATCCCGGCAGCCCCTCTCCGGTGTGTGCCAGCAGCCGCGGGTCTCCCTCCCTCTCTCACGCTCTTTCCATAAACCACTGACCCACCCGAGCGATGCCCGATCTGAAGCCGGTCGTTAGCTTCCAAGGTGCTCTCGCGATGCCTCTAACCCCACTCGAGCAAATTGGTTGTTCCTTCCACCCACCCCGCTCCCAGATGGGGACGCGGAGACTGGGGAAATCTGACGTTTGGAGCTGGCCTCAAAGTGAGTTTGCACGGCTCTGGCTACCTCTGCATTTGCTTCTCTGTTGAAAAATTCTTTCTCTGACTCTGCTGTGTGCTGCTGGAAAGAGGGCTATTTCCCCACCCCCACTCTCACCTCACTCCACCCCCCATCACCACCCCCCATCACCACCCCCACCCTATCTCCAGGAGTTAAACTCAAAATCCCCGGCTCCCTCATCTCCTCTCTGCCTGTCCTGGTTCAGCTGAACTTCCTAGAGTTTCTTGGCCAAAGGCACTAACTTAGCACAGCTGCGAGGGGTTCGAACCACCTGTGCCTCACGGCTCGGTCTACCATCACTACAGGCATTTCCTGATCCTGGGTGAGCACTGAGAAGAATCCCTGTCCGATCTACAAGATGGAGTTCAGTGGCCGTCCACTGCTTGTCTAGCATTCTAGGCACCAGTCCCAGGCTTCTCATCCAAAATCCGCCTTTCACCAAATAATGGAGAGGAGGGCTGACCTTGCCTACTGAAAACGCTGTGGGGGTGGGGGTGGGGTTCAGTTTATTGTCTTGATGTCCTATGTTTCCAATTCTGCTAATGTCTGCTACATACAACCAAGTGGGAAAGCCACCGCAGGGTGAGCACACCCTCATGCTATGGCTGCCGAATAGAGAGTTGGCATGATAACACGTGCTGTGTCCGGTGGTGGTGGTGAACACACGTGCTGTGTCCGGTGGTGGTGGTGAACGCCTTTAATTCCAGCATCAAAGAGTCAAAGGCAGGTAGACCTCTGTGAGTTTGAAGCCAGACTACTATTCGATAAATCAAGTTGCAGGGCAGCCAGGACTGTTACACAGATTAACCCTGTCTCAAAACAACAACAGCAATCATAATAATAACAATAATAATAAATAGCTACAAAGTTGAACATGGGATGCACGTGGAAGGCTTAGGAAGATGGCCCGTTGGAGGCTAGCTTGGGCTACATAGTAAGACAGTCTCAAAGAAAGAAAGAAAGAAAGAAAGAAAGAAAGAAAGAAAGAAAGAAAGAAAGAAAGAAAGGAAGGAAGGAAGGAAGGAAGGAAGAAAGAAAAACACAAGACAGAATTGACTGTAGATTTGGATATTGAGTATACCTAGTGCGTCCCTGGGCACCTAAGCAGCTAGGGACAGCCTTGAAAGCTAAGGCTTCCCATTATGCCAGATAAAATGAGAGTAGCAGGGAGCAAGAGAAGAATATCCTGATGTTCAGTGACCCCCCCCCCATGAATCCTCCCATGACCTGGGACATCAAGAGATCGTCACCATTTTCATGGTAGGTGACAGACGCAAAAAGGCAGGATGTCAGCAGTTGACTTGCAACTGAAGGGGTCCCCACACTGTGAAATGCACACCCCTTCTGTTGGCCAGCTCGCCTTGACACTATGAGGGGTGTGGCCTGCATACACATGCTGGAAGGAACCCAGAGCTCTCCGTACCCAGCTTTCTTCCTGGCATCCTTCCTAACTTTCCAAAGGCTGTATACTGGACCTCACCCCTATTCCTGGGCGTCTCAGATCCTAGAGGGTCAAGGCAGAGGACCTCTTCAAATATTGGGCTGGTAGAGGATCCTGGACTTCTGGGTGGTTGGAGCCTCACTTATGAGAAGGCTATGACCCAGAGGAAGCTTGTTATCCTGTGATAAGGGGAGAGATGTCTCCCAGGACTCCCCTCACTCCCTAGCTTTACAGCCTTACAGGTAGCAGGGTACTGGAGCACCCTGTCTTCCAGCTACCTTCAGTCTCCCGGAGTTCTGCGTGCAGTCCGCCAGTTCCAGGGCCACGTCGTAAAAAGATTTACAAGACTATGTAAAACTGGCAGTAAAAACAATTAACTTTAATGGCACCTCGGGTGGGTGGCTGGGTGGGTCTCTCCCGCCTTCTCCACAGAGCGGCAAGCCAGATAAGGGAGAGGACCAGCAGTCAACGGGTCCTGATTTCATCTCTCAGTTCTTCTTGGGGACCTTCCCTCAGCTCTGGAGTTCAGAGGTTCAAGGCTAAAATGAGAAGATGGTGGGACACAGGGACAGAGAATCAAGCTTTGGTAGTTGGTACCCCACTGAGCAAGCCTCTGAGCCTTTTAGCCCCTCCCAGGCTCAGTGCTCTCATCTGTGAAATGAGAATTGAGGAATGTGAGACTCTCTCACAGAACTGGGGAAGCTTTCAAATGATTCATCTGAGGGCTCCTCCCCCACGCCTGGTACACACGTGTGCTCGAGCATTTAATTTAGTAAGTTTGCATTTTAGGAAGCGTGTGCCCCCCAGGTGTCCAGCTTTCTGAAAGGTCAGGGCCACATTTCCGAGCCTTGGCTCTGCCATCCCCACTTAAATATCAGTTTCCTGCTAAAATTGACCTACTTGTCCGGCTGGTGACCCCGGAAGCGACCCCATGCTCTGGCAGTAGACTGCAGCCCCCCGGCTTTGAAAACGACCTGGATTTCTGGAAAGCCAGTAAGGAAATGAGAGTGACCAGGGGGTAGAGGCAGGGTCTCTACCTCCCTGTCCCCTGGGCCAGCCCGGAAAACTCTCATTCTGTAGTTCTCCTTGGCCTGGAGACAATTAACATCCATTTCAGAAAGCCCTCTGTTTGTCTGTGTCTGTGTGTGGCCCTCTGGGGTTGCCCCAACCCCCAGTGGACGCTGCAGTGTAAGGGCATTGCTCATTGGCCAGGCAATTTAATTAGTCAGGACATACAATCAATGTCATCATGGCCCCTGGACCCTCTATCCAGAGGGCAGACATTGTCTCTGATCTCAAGATGCCAGGACCTCTTCAACCCCACTCGTGGTCCTGCTAACTGAGACTCTACCACCAAATGCACTGAGACCTGCAAAGGAACTGCCACCAACAGGTTTAAAGATCCCATTTGGGACCTGGTTGAGGGGGGAGGGGGTGTCACTCAGGTGTGGAAGAGAGCTTGCTGAGTTTGAACCGCCACATAAAACAAGCCTGGTGATGCATTGTGCTATAGTCCCAGTACTAGGGAAACGGAGGCAGGAGGATCAGGAAGGAGTCTAAGGCCTTCTTTGGCTGCATAGTGAGTACAGTGCAGCCTGAACTACATGGTAAAGAAAGAAAGAGGGGCTGAAGAGATGGCTCAGGGGTTAAGAGCATTGACTTCTCTTCCTGAGATCCTGAGTTCAATTCCCAGCAACCACATGGTGGCTCACAACCATCTGTAATGAGATCTGGTGCCCTCTTTGGGGCTGCAGGCATACATGGAGGTTGAACATTGTGCACATAATAAAGTAAATAAATCTTAAAAAAGAAAGAAAGAAAGAGAAAAGAGAGGAGGGAAAGATGGGAGAAAGAGGGGGAAGGGGGGAGGAAGGAAGGAAGGAAGGAGGGAAGGAGGGAGGGAGGAAGAAGAGGATTGAGTTTGTTTATTTGTAGAAAGGGTCTTACTCTGTAGCCCAGGCTAGTCTAGAACTCATAATCTGCCTACCTCGTGGTGGGGTAGGCAGGCCTGAACCCCCATGCTCAGCCTAGATAGCTTATTGAAGGGCGGTAAGTTCTAGGACCAAAGAGAAAACAAGAAGACAAGCAGAGTGGGGAGAGAGAAAGCTTCCAGTTCAGGGTGCTGTGCACTGCAGGGGCCTGGGAGAAGGACAGGACCCTCAGGCAGAACCGTGTTGTATAGCCTGAGGGAAGAGCTTGGCTTCCACAGCTCAGGTCAAGAGGCAGACATGAAGTCCACCTGTCAAAAGGGAATGTGCATGCTGGTCAAGCTGTCAGAGGCAGAGAGCAGAGAAGACCAGGTGACAACTCAGGACCCCTGTGAGGGCTCTACTGCCTGCTGCCGCTGAGATGGAGCCACAGGAGCGCTGAGATGGAGCCACAGGAGCACGAGGATGAGCCGGTCTGCTTGCTGCTCTCACTGGGGCTCTGAAGACAGGGCTCTGAAGTCCAGCACTCAGGAGGCAGAGGAAGGAGGACCTCTGCGAGTTCCAGGACAGCCAGGGCTAGATAGTGAAGTCCTGTCTCCAAAACACAAAAACCAAACAAAAATTTAGTAATAAAATAAAACCTCAAGAATAACAAGAATAACAGTAAAAGGAGAGTGGATTCTAGGCAGAGGGAAATGGACCTGTGAGGTCACTTCCGAGAGGGCTCCATGGTTCTTTGTTTGTTTGTTTTGTTTTGGGCTTTTTAAAAGTTAAATTTATTTAACTTTATTTTACGTGCATGAAGGTATCAGATTCCCTGGAGCTGGAGTTACAGACAGTTGTGAGCTGTCATGTGGGTGCTGGGCTTGGAACCTGGGTTCTCTGAAAGAGCATCCAATGCTCTTAACCTCTGAGCCATCTCTCCAGACCCTTGCTTTTGTTTTTGTTTTGTTTTCTGAGGCAGAGTTTCTCTGTGTAGCTCTGACTGTCTTGGAATTTTCTCTATAGTCCAGGCTAGCCTTGAACTCACAGAGATCTACCTGCACCTACCTTCATAGTGCTGGGATTAAAGGCGTGAGTCACGGCACCCGACTCCAAATATTTACAGGAACCCATTTCGTCAAAGAGAACAATTTGCTTAAGGCTGGGATCTTTAAAGATGATAGGACTGTGTCTTCCAAGACCGTGCCTTGAGACAGCAGCTTTCTCCTCACCCTTTTGTCTCCCAGCTACTGGGATGCCCCATGGTGCTAGGAAGGCAAACTCTCCCTGCACTGGGAGGTCTGGTGGGGACCATGCCATCTATATGAATTGAACCTTTTGGCCTCAGCTAACCCTTCAGGCAGCTGTGGCCTGGCCAATATCAAGACCACATCCCAGGGGCTGGAGGGAATGAAGCCAAGGGGCAATGTGCCTGCTTCATGCACATGGGGCCCTGGGTTCCCAGCACTTCCCCCATTAAAAAGGCAGAATTTCAAAATAGTTAAGCTCTAAATTTGGAATTATTTGTTATGAGGCTGTAGCTAACAAATGCCTAAAATTCACAAGAAAATGAATAGCATGTATACATACCCAGAGTTTGTATAGAAAACAGAAGCCAGATCATTGAAGTCTTACAGATCACATGATTCCAGGCTGTGCTAGAGGCAAGAATACAAACAAACAGAGCGCCATATGATATAGTGGCTCATCACCATCTTTGACTCCTGTTTCAGGGTACCCAATGCCCTTTTTCAGTCTAGTACATGTGAGCACCAGGTATATACTTGGTGTGTAGCCTTATTTATAGGCAAATCACCCATACACATTAAGAAATATAACAAAATATTTTTAAAACTCACAGCTGTACACAGTGGTGATCCCAGAACTTCAGAGGCAGAATCATCCAAAGATCAAGGCCACCCTCAGATACCTAGTGAATCTGAGGGACCACACTTAGGCTCTTGTGGCTCTAGGCAAACCCTACACTCCGTCTCTAACACAGCACACACTGAGGGTGCCCCAGTATGAGAAAGACACTTAACCCCACTGCTCAGTCTAGGTGACCTCGACCAGGTCAACCCAGAATTTCAGATTCTTCACCTGGACCCATGGGTGGTCCCTGGTGTTTTCTGTAAAGACTATAGAATGCTGTGCACCCAAGCCCCAGTTTCAGCATCCAAAGCCTCTGTCCATCTGTATTCTTACAGCAACCCCATCAGCGAGCCTCAAAGCACGCAAGTAGTCTCCAGTCACAAGCTCCACACAGCTGGTCATCAGAGTGCCCCGGCCTGGGCCACCCCCTTTTGGTGCCCTATCTCATCCATTCTCCCCGTCGGGCTGTAAGCCAGTCATTACCACCACCAAGCCAACCTCAAATTCCCATGATGTTATATCACTAGACAGCTCTTAACTGTCACTTCAAGGACCTGAGAAGAGGCCACAGATACCCAGGTTACAAGTACTTCAAGGATTCTTGGCCTAAGATACAGAATTTTATCCTTCGAGTGGGCACAGGGATCAGAGCGCCCAGCCACTGTGCCCAGTACCCTGTCTGGTTCAGGGTCCACTGTGTCCTTGCACTGATGTTGTCATTGGTCTTACAAGGGGAAGGGAAGGGAAGGCAGTGGTTAGATGCACAGCCTCTTTCTAGGGAGTGACACAGAGCCTAACTCTGCTACTTTCTGCCTTCTCTCTAGAGAAGAGATGAGACCTCTCATACCTGTGATGAGAAGACATGGACAGTGTCCCTTCGTGGGACTGACCTGACCATGGAGAGACTGTGTGGGTGAGGTGGGAAACCCACAGTTCTGCAAACAGCCCCCTGCTCCTCCAGTGCAGGGAATATGTTCTTGTTCCTTCCTTTTATTGGGTGGGAATATATATTTCAAGACATGGTCTTTCTGTGTAGCCCTGGCTGTCCTGGAACTAGGTCTGTAGACCAGGCTGGCCTCAAACTCAGAGATCCACCTACCTCTACCTCCCGAGTGCTGTGATTAAAGGTGTCTGCAACCATTCATGGCATTTTTTTTTTCGGTAGGGTCTCTGTGGCCCAGATTGACCTCGCAATCCTCCTGCCGCATTCCTAACTACTGAGACTGTGGGGGTCAGCCACGATACCCATCTTAAGGAATTTTTGGTTGTTTTAGTAAAAGGTTTTATTTGAACAGGGACATGGTTCAGTAGTGGCAGAGTGCTTGAAGGCCCCGGGTTGAGAGAGAGACAGAGGAACACAGAGAGAGCTATTATCTAGGCTAGAGGGGTGGGAGAAAGTAACAAGAAAGTAAACTTGTATATGGAGAGAAACTCTGGTGAAGCCAGGGGATTCTCCACAGGGGATTCTCTCAATCCCAGCCCTCTGGAGGCAGAGGCAAAAGGATCAGGAGTTCAAGGCCAGCTTAAGCTGCATAGTGAGACCCTGTCTCAAGCTGCAGGCATAAAACATCTTGGATTGGACAAGTTCTCTACAAAGCCTACAATGGGAGTGAAGGAGAAAACTGAAATGGAAGCCCCCAAGCAGATCCCTTACACAAGAATCACGTGACACCCTTCTGCCTTGCTCTGGGGACTCAAACTGGGATCCCAATAAAATGACCATCTCCATGGGTTAGAAACAGTTGACAAAATGGACAGTTTCCTTTTTCTTTTTTTCCTTTCCAAGACAGGGTTTCAGGCTGGAGAGCTGGCTCAGCAGTTACGAGCACTCGGCTGCCCTTCCTGAGGTCCCAAGCGTAATTCCCAACAACCACATGGCTCACAACTATCTGTGTGGAATCTGATTCCCTCTCCTGCTGTGTGTGAAGACAGAGCACTCATGCATAAAATACATGAATAAATAGATCTTAAAAAAAAAACAAGACAGTGATTCTTTCTCTGTGTAGCCCTGGCTGTCCTGGAACTCACTCTATAGACATCTGCCCGCCTCTGCCAACTGCTGGGATAAAAGGTGTGTGCTACCACCAACCAGTAATATTTGCTGATAATTTCACAGTCTTTGACCTTCTATGCGCATGTGTGTATCTATTCATGTGTCGAGGCCAGGGGTTGATGTTGAGTGACTTCCTTGGTCGCTCTCCATTCTGCTTCTGTTTCTGAAGTCAAAGCACTTGGAATCTGCCGATCTAGACAGCTAGCTTGTCCCGGAAATCCCATCTCTGCCTCCCAATTGCTGGGATTACAGGCATCCTTCATGCCTGCCTGGCTTTTTATATGGGTGCTCAGACTTGCTCAAAGAGGGTTTTAGTCACTAAACCATCTCTTCACCTCCCTTCCTCACATAATTTTGATACTTAAAAAAAGAATTTCAAAGATGTTCATTATAGACTGATCATGTTGCCTCAAAACTCCTAATTTGAAGCCCTGACCCTTCAGCCTTCAGGTCTCAAAAAACTGATAAAAATTATGCAATTAAGACAGATTAGGGAAGGCCCTATTCAGAACCCATGGGTGCCTTGTAGGAGGAAACTGTGTGGAGAGGAAACAGGCCATCCGGTCCAGAAGAACAGCCACTGGATGTAACCAGTGGACACCTGTCTACCAACCAAGGAAGAAAACCCACCAGAAACAACTCTCTCCAGACCCTGTTCATGCCCTGTTCATGGACTTCTGGACTTTAGACTGTGGGAAAAGAAATATGTGTCATCTTAGACACACGTCTGCAGCATTTTGTAAGACAGCACAGTGCCCTGCGGTTCCAAAAGAGGAGACCACACATCCAAAGAGAAATCAAAACCCCCACCTCCTCCCTCCACCACCACCACGACTCGGCAACTGTGCCGAGCTACCCCTGGTCTCTGGTGTCTTGTTTTCTCTTCTGCTGCTGAGGTAGGCTACTGGACAGAAGCACTCTAAGGAGAGGTTTATTTTGGCCTTTAGAAAGGAATCTCCACGCGAAAGCCTCGCACTGTTTAATCTTCGGTAAATTTGACATGAACCAAGGTCATGTTCTTAATTAATGATTGGTTAATGTGGGAAGACCCAGCCCACTGTGGGCAATACACGACCCCTAGGCAGGTGATCCTGGGTTGTATAAAAATACAAGCTAACCAGGCCGTGGGGAGCAGGCTAGTAGTCAGCATTCCTCCAAGACCTCTGCTTCAGGTCCTACCTCCAGGTTCCTGCTTTGACTTCCCTCAAGGGACTGTGGCTTGGCTGCATAAGCCAAATAAAGCCCTCCCTTCCTCCCAAGTTGCCTTTGGAGGTCTTTTCACAGCGATAGAAACCCAACCAAGACAGGCCTCCCCTGCCCACCTTTCTTCTATGAAAAGGGCAAAGTTTGTTCTCCAAGACCAAGAAAAAGGAAGATGAAGGAGAAGTTGCAAAGAGCTGTCAATCATGATGTATTGAGCAACCTAAGCAATTTAAACACAGGCACGCTGCTGCTGTTTTAAGACAGGGTCTCCAGTAGCCTGTGCTGGCCTCAAACTCCCTACGTAGACAAGGATGACCTTGAATTTATGATCCTTCAGTCTCTGTCTCTCCGACACTAAGATTACAAACAAGATGCACCATCCACACCTGTTCTGTGTGGTGCTGCGGAAGTACATACCAGCACCCCAAGCCCTGTGAGGACATCCTTAATTCCATTTTTAACCGTAAGGTCAGTTTTTATCGGCAAGTTGACATAACCGAGAGTCACCTGGGAAGAGGGAATCTCAACAGAGAGATGGCCCAGATCAGATAGGGGCCTGTGGCCGTGTCTGTGGGGCATTGTCTTGATTGGTGGTTAATGTAGGAGGGCCCAGCCCACCCCTTGGCAGGAGGTCTTAGGTTGTGTGAGAAAAGACTGCTAAGCACAAGGCAGGGAGGGCAAACCACCGAGCAGCCCAACTTCCATGGTTCCCACCTCTGCCCCTATGTGAGTTCAAGCCCTGTGTCCTCTGTAAGGGACTGTGACCTGGATAGGGAAGCCAAATTAACCCTTTCCTCTCTGTGTTGCTTTGAGCCGTGGTGCTTATCAAAGCAACGGAGAAGCAAACTGGTACAGCAATCTTATAGCTTACAGGTGAGAAAACAAAAACCCAAAGGCGTCCCCTTGTCCCACACCGCAACCCCCAAGGTCCCAAAGCTGGGGAATAATAACAATCAACTAGCCAAGATAGTAACTGCTTCCTTTAAAATAGGACTGTGGCAGCGGGGAGGGCTGGAGAGTGGCTGGGAGACACACGTCCTGAATGCTTCTCCAAGTGCCACAGCAGCACACTTGAGCCTATCTCGGTGCTGACAATGCGGAGAGTGTCTGGTGCACGGCTTGGGAATCGTGCCTCTAGTCCAGGAAATTCCCTGTGCACCTCCTGAAATGTGCCCCAGTCCTCTTTATTTGGGGAAAACAGTTCCAAGGTCACAGGCAAGACCCAGGATCCCAGTAGGAGCCTCCAAGAGGGCAAGGGGATGTGCACATTCCATTCTCTCTGCTCTTTGCCCCAGGGGCCACCCTGAGGATACCTTTGCAGATGCTGGTTTGCAGCTGCTTCTTCCTTTTCTTTCTCTTCTTCTCTGCCTTCTCCTCCTCCTTCTTCTCTTCCTCCTCCTCTTTCTCCTCCTCCTCCTCCTTCTTCTTCTTCGTCTTATGAGACAGGGTTTCTTTGTGTAGCCTTGAACTAGCTCTGTAGACCAGGCTGGCCTCAAACTCACAGAAATCCCCCTGCCTGACTTCCAGCTTCTTGCTGGGCTCAGTTTATTTGAAGTATTGATGATGATGGGAAGGAAGTGGGTAGATTAAGGAGAGATGGAGCTAGGCATTCATGTCCTGTCGTCTCCCTAGAGGGACTGTGAGCTACCAGGTCTCCACACTGGGCAGCCCAGCATCTACGAATCCAGCACACATGTATATCTAAGCATTCTACTACCAAGCCCCTAATGTTCAAGGGTGAGGGACCACCACTTTTGCTAGCTTCAGAAAAGTACCCTTGCATTACATCCCTCCCAAGCTGGATGGATGGTGGGGAGGGATTATTTCTTGCCTCCAGCCTTAGCCCTAAATTAGAATTGCAGCTAAAAGCTAAAATAGAAAGCTGCCCAGGGCTTTTTGGATGCTGTTGTGCTGAGGATGGGCCCAGGGCATCTTGCAAGGGAGGTACGCACTCTGCCATTGAGTTACATCCTGGCTCATTTTATTTATTTTCTCAATGAGAGAGGGTCTCCGGTAGCTCAGGCTCATCTTGAACTCCCTATGTAGCTGAGGACTTCCTTGACTTCTAATCTTCCTGCCTCCACCTCCCCAGGTCTGGGACTACTGGTATGTGCAGTGTTGGGGATTGAACTCAGGACTTCATTTAAACTAGGCAAGCTCTTTCCCCACTGAGCCACAGACCCAACTGCAGGGTCCCTCCAGACTCCACTTAGGGCATCATCGCCATGACATTCTTTGGGTACAGCCAGGTCCCAAGATCCATCCAAACTCAAAGAAAAAGGACACAGACTCCAGCCCTTGGCAGGAATCAGAAGTTCAGCGCAGAAGAGCGCGCTGGGAAGTCTTGAAGCCGCCAAGGTTACCTCCTATGCCTGCACTGGTAACTCAATTTGAGTCATGAAAGTGGGACTCTTGGGGCTGGTGAGATGGCTCAGTGGTTAAGAGCACTGACTGCTCCTCCAGAGGACCCGGGTTCAATTCCCAGCACCCACATGGCAGCTTGCAGCTGTCTGTAGCTCCAGTTCAAGAGAATCTGACATCATTATACCAATATGCATGAAATAAAGTTAAATAAAGTTTAAAAAAAAAAAAGAAAGTGGGACTCTTGGCTCTGTTTCTACAGTGCTTGTGAGTCTAATCCTAGATCTCCCATAGCTATGCACAATGTGAAGTTCAACCCACGGTCTAACCTAAGTCCACTCTCCTCACAACAAACTTGAGGTGTCTCTATAACTCACAGGGATATTCATATGCCCCAATGCATCCGCGGCTCTTCATTTCTCCATCAAGCTGAAGCTCACAGCTACCGAGAACTTTCTTCAGTGTCTCACAGCATACCTAGATAGTGAAGGAACTGAACTCATGCCTAGATGGCTGATCGGTTTCGTTTTCAACACTTACTACCAGGAAAAACACACCTTCGCCTCGTCTCCGATCTGCATCCCTGAACTCTTAGAAAGTCAGAGAAGCTGTCGAAGCCAGAAACGCGGCACAGTTTCCCTCCAGGTGGCGGGTGGAAGCTGGGCACCACTCTGATCCCTGGCCCTTCTTCCAGGTGCAGTGCGGGCACTAAGGAGTTAACAGCTGGAGAACCTGCAGGACCTCACTAGAGATATAATTACAGAGCATCACCACCCGGGCCTTCTGGCAAGGGTTTTGTAGAAATAGGTAAATAAACAGTGTCCTGTGGTCTCTTCACCCTGTGGGCTGATTAACTCTTGCGGAGAACGGTCCCCAGAGACTGAGGTGAGAGAGCGCTCCCACCAGCCCAAACTCCCGCTTGTTGGGGTTTTCCCAAGGCCCCTCCCAGCCCGGAGCCAAACCTGTCCAGGGAGCACAAACCCTCAAGGTAAGTCCATTGCCCCTGCTGGGAACCTGGTGGGACCCCATTCAGTTGCTAAGCGTTAACCACCCACTACAGAATTCCTGGGTAGAAACCAGCCCGGCAATCCTGATTTATTGCCTTTTAAAGTCTCCCTCGTCTTCCATTAGCCCTGCTTCGACTGCCTCTATCTCTCATCTCCTTCTCCCCACTTATGTGCTGTAACCCCGGGTTGGGTGTCTTCCCATTAGCCCCGAGGTCTGAGCGGCAGAGACCTTTGCTTAGTTCCACTTATCTCTGAGCATCTCTCCGCTTCTCCCACAAGCTGCCAATCTCCTCCCCGCTTCTGAG